CGGGGAAGAACAAAACCGAAAATCACCCAGCTATACAGTCCAGACAGCTAAGCTGTCTGTATAAACAAACACACACAACCAAGCACACACACACACACTGACAAAGCTCTCTCTCTCACATAAGCGTGCGCGCACTAACACACACACAAGCACCAAGCAGACACACAGGCAAAGCTCTCTCTCTCTCTCATTAGCGCGCGCGCGCACTAACATACACACACACAAGCAACAAGCGCACACACACACAGGCAAAGCTCTCTCTCTCATTCGTATAGCAATATCCGCGATATTGCTAGACAGCCCGCTCCTGTCCCAAATTAAACCCGTTACCGACCGCTCCCGTGATTTATTCGGAAATTTATTACCGCGCCACAGAAATCTGGTCGGGTCCCGCGGCGCCCGCGGGACAGCCACGGGAATGCAGACCTCTACCTTAAAGTCCACATGAACCGGAAGCTGCGACCGTTTTTTTCCGTATTGTGAAGCTGAATATTAAATGAAAAACCAGTGGGTGTGGTTTGTTTTTCTACAGCAAGCTGATTGGATGTTGTAAAGTAGGCATTTCATTCATAAAGATCAGGTAAAAGGGTTTTCGGGGAGTTTTCACAACCTAACAGACTCCTCCTGCTTATCATTTCTGTTTGTTGTCACAACTGACAGCTGGAGGGGCGTGGCTAAATATGTTAGCCACGCCCAAAACGTCAGACTGATGTAATCTGAGAATTTAACTGAAAACAAACAGGAAGTGCATTTGCAGATTTCAATTAAAGACAGCAAACTATGTATTTTTTTTTTGTCTTAATGACATGCACAGATGAATTGTTAAGCACAAAACTAGCAACGTGAGCTAACAAAACCAATATATTTAGTTTTATTTTGACTTGTACTTTAACTGGGGTTTACCTTGCGTCTGAGTTAATAAATCTCACCTTAACTCCTCTTTGGCCTCTGAAATGATGCGCTGCAGCTCTTCTTTGCTCAGCTCCACCTGTGATGATGATTTTATTCGCGTTAAAACCCCAAACACGTGTGCAGATCCACAGAAACATGCAGTTTGAACACGATCGCGGAGGACACTTACTTTATCCGGCGTTTCTTTGGCGACTCCACGCTTCACCCATCCGACACACGTTATTTGAGCGCTCATGACTGATTTGTGTATGTTTATAGTGATAAAATGACACAACACGAGGATTCTCTAGGCTGCCGTCGTCACTGCGGCGCACAGCTATGACGTCACGCCATCGGTCAATCAAAACAAGGAATAAGTGATTTTTAATTAGAAATTTTATTAATTATAGATGTTTTATAAAAAAAATTATCATTTTAAAGAAGGACTTGATGTTATATGTCGACGAGGATTTTTTCATGGTGTAATTTTTGACTGTCCTAAAGAAAAAGGTAGAACAGAACATGTCAGCAATTTTCTTATTTATGTATTGTTTATTTTATACAAATAAGTATTTGAACATTTAACTTATTATTTTCTTTTTACAAATTTAGTCATGTTTACTTTTATCGTCATCATATTATTAATATATTATTATAATATAATTCATTTATTTTAATAATTTCATTTAACAAATTTAGTCATTGTTAACCTTTATTGTTATTAAATTGTAATTTATTTATTTATTATTTTAATTATGTATTGTTTCTATTATATAAGTATATATTTATTAATTTCATTTGAAAAACGAAGACATTGTTTATTGTTATCATTGTTATATTATTTATTTTGTATTTATGTATTGTTTATACTATATACATGTTTAATTATTTGTTTTATTAATTTAATTTGACAGATTTAGTCAGTTAACCTTTATAATATTATATTGTTATTTATTTATTTATTTGTTTATTCATTTATTTATTTTTATGTGTTGTTTATAATATATAAATATTTATTTTATTTATTTTAATAATTTAATTTTACAAATTTAATCATTGTTTACATTGATTGTTTTTATATTGTTATTTATTAATTTATTATTTTAATTATGTATTGTTTCTATTATTTAAATATATATGTATTAATTTTATTAAAAAATGTAGACATTGTTTACATTTATCTTTATTGTATTATTCATTTTTATTTATGTGTTGTTTATACTATATAGATGTTTAATTATTTATTTTATTAATTTTTTCATTATTATATTGTTATTTAGTTATTTTTCTGCAATTGTTTATATTATATTAATATTTATTTATATTATTAATCATAACAGTCATAGATAACTTTTATCGTTAGTAGCCTATATTATTTATTGATTTATATTTATGTGTTGTTTATATTATATAAATATTTATTTATTCATTTTATTAATGTCATTGCACTATTTTTTTTTCATCGTTAACTTTTATTGTTATATTTTTTTATTTATTTTTATTTATGTATTGTTTATGTTATATTAATATTAATTTATTTTATCAGTTAAATTTTTCTAATTTAGACATTATTTATTGTTGTCATTAATACATTATAATTGATTTTTTATATTTAATATTTTATTTAATGCGTTTATGTTTATGTAATCATTTATTTATTTTATTCTTTATTATTTAATTATTTGTTTATTTTGGTTATTTATTGTTCATGTATTCATTATATTATTAGTTTTATTAAGTTAGTTAGTTCATTTGTTTTTATTGTTATTTTCTCATTTTCTCTTTGCCGCTATCATATTGCTCGTGGATATTATTATTCCTGTGTTTTTGCAATGAACTACAGTTGAAGTCAGAATTATTAGCCCCTTTTTTAAGTTTTTTAACTTTTTTTAATATTTCCCAAATGATGTTGAACAGATTCAGGAAATTTTCACAGTATGTCTGATAATATTTTTTCTTCTGGAGAAAGTCTTATTTGTTTTATTTCGGCTAGAATAAAAGCAGTTCTTAATTTTTTAAAAACAATTTTTGGGACAAAATTATTAGCCCCTTTAAGCAATTTTTTTTTCAATAGTCTACAGAACAAACCATCATTATACAATAACTTACCTAAGTACTCTAACCTGCATAGTTAACCTAATTACTAATTAGTTAAGCCTTTAAATGTCACTTTAAGCTGTATAGAAGTGTCTTGAAAAATATCTAGTAAAATATTATTTACTTTTATCATGACAAAGATAAAAGAAATCAGTTATTAGAAATAAGTTTTTAAAACTATTATGATTAGAAATGTGCTGAAATAATCTTCCCTCCATTGAACAGAAATTGGTGAAAAAAATAAACAGGGGCGTTAAAAATTCAGGGGGGCTAATAATTCTGACTTCAACTGTACTTTCACATATATAAAAAAATTCAAAATTGCATAAACAAAACATGTTAAAAAAACAAACAAAAAGCTGAAGGAGCATTTTTAAATGTCTTTTATTATTTTTTATTAGATCACAGAAAAGATTAATGGAAGAAGGTGAGTAAAAATCTTCCTATTTGTTTTTAGATTGCCCTTAGGAAATTCAATCATGCTTTGTTGTGGTAGTGTTGTAACTGTGATTTTCTGACAAACTGATTCGCCATTTGTTTATACATGGAAATGATATATTATGATTTGTCATTTGCTTAACCACAAATACCACTATATTTTACCACAAACACTATGGTTAAACTATATGATGTAGTAAAACATTGCTGTTTATTTAAATTGCTGTTTTCACCACAGGAGAGCACTGCACTAACTTTACTACAATCAATTACATTTGTTGTCAATTGTATGTTGTTTACTTTTATATATATATATATATATATATATATATATATATATATATATATATATATATATATATATATATATATATATATAATATTTATTTTTTGCTATATTCTATTACTTGTACAGAGATTATTCAGTTCAGTTAGTTTGTTTTATTTTTGTTGTTATTTGAATTATTTACGGTATTGATTTTCTGTGCTGTATAAGTTCACCACAGGAGGGCGTCACTGCTGTAAATTCACTGAAATCAATTATATATACTTTGTGTTCAATTAGTTTGGTTTGTTATATGACTTTTCCTGATATTATTTAAAATAATGATTTCTTAAATTGCTATTTTGAATTATTTAGGGGTGACGCAGTGGCGCAGTTGGTAGTGCTGTCGCCACACGGCAAGAAGGTTGCTGGTTCGAGCCTCAGCTGGGTCAGTTAGCGTTTCTGTGTGCATGTTCTCCCTGCGTTTGCGTGGGTTTCCTCTGGGTGCTTCGGTTTCCTCCACAGTCCAAATACATGTGGTACAGGTGAATTGGGTAGGCTAAATTGTCCGTGGTGTATGAGTGTGTATGGATGTTTCCCAGAGATGGGTTGCAGCTGGAAGGGAAAACATCCGCTGCGTAAAACATATGCTGGATAAGTTGCCAGTTCATTCCACTGTGGCAACCCCAGATTAATACTGGCACTAAGCCGAAAAGAAAATAAATGAATGAATGAATGAATTATTTACTGTATTGATTTGCTGTGCTGTAATTTGCAAATTTCACCACAGGAGGGAGCCACTTCTCTTGGTTCACTCTTCAATAGAATCAAGTTCATATATATTTTTTAGTTCAGTTAGTTGGTATTATATTATATTAAATATATACTATTATTTTATATACTATTACTATGCTATTAATATATAAATGATTTTAGATGTTTTAGAACTATTTAGAACTATTTACACTATTTATTTACTGTGCTGTAATTCTTAGAGTTCACCACAGGAGGGCACAATCACCACTGCTCTCGGTTCATTAAAGTCAAATAAATATATATATTTTAATTTTTTTATAATATTAAATGGTATTTCATTACATGATTACATTTCCTGGCATTAGTTATTTTATTTACAGATTTTTAAAAGCTATTTTTAAATTTTTTTATAGAATATAATTTGCTGTGATTTACAGATTTTACCACTGCTGTAACTTCAATAGAAACTCAGATTAGATTTGAATGGTGATATAAAAATTGTCTACTGCTTTAAAGTCGATATATATATATATATATATCATTACAAAATAGGCATTTAAAACATTTATGAAAATATAATCTTGCAATTTATCCTGCAAGGATGTGCTGATTTTGTTATTAATCTTTCTTTTAATGTATAATTAGCATTATTGCTTACAACAATAGTAACAATAATATATAATCAAGTCGATATAAATATAGAAAATAAAACTAAAATATTAATCGATGCTACTTTTGGGCGTCTGTCTCCATGGAGACGAAGCGTAGTTTCGCTTTTCTCTGGAGAAACTATTGCCTCCACTGTTAAATATTCTGATTATAAATATAATCAAAGACTGAGTAATACAAAAGGGGACTTTAATATGATGAATATGAGCTGTTTTAAAGGCGATATATCAGGTTTACAGTTTAACGGCCGAGAATCGAAGGTTAATCGCTGTCTGGAAAACACCTCAGGGCTTCCGTAGTTCAAGGTATTCTATGTAAACATGAGCCACGCTCTCTGCAAAGCCTCTAATCATGCTGTCAGTCACCTAAAGGCCTCAGAAATCATGCAAGTCAGGTAACAGTAGCTAATAAGGGCTAATAGATGTATATGATGATAATGATAACGCATGATGATGATTAAAATAAGATTATTTTGCTTGTTTAACGTGCTAACGGGATTGTTAAGTGCTTTTGGTCTTGTATTGTAAGCGGTTTAACATTTTTATCTTCACAGCAGTTCATATGTGTATGAACAATCATTTAATGCATACTTTAGATTTAATAAACAGTGAAATCAGCATTTATTTGACCGAAATAATCAGCAAGCCGGCTGTCAAGCGTAGTAAATGATCATATGAAGATTTCAGATGCAAAAACTCTGAAATTTGTAGCAAAATTAACATTTTTCTCAACTTCCTTTGTTTAAGTTAAGTTATTTTACTTTAAAGACCAGTAAAAGAACGTATGCTTTGCCATGAAGGTTATTACTGGACATGTATACAGGAGTTTCAGAAAAATACAAATTTTATTGGAAGATTTCGGACATCATTTAGAGATTTTTGCATCTAAACTCTTCATAGTAATGTCTGTAAACCAAAATATGATATATTTGGTCTGACCAACAATAAAACTTTTACATGTGACCTTAATAACATGTGACTTCATGAGCAGTAAAAACTTCCAGAAGCTCAATTAATAAGCATATATATTCAATTTGTCTTCTTTCAATTCATTCAATTTGTCTCTGTTTATTTATTTATTTATTTTTTGAAATAAACAAGCTCTGGTTCCTATTCTTACATATACATACACACGTGGTGGCGATAATGCACCTTTAATGCTGTTATGCAGTATAACCGAAGAAGAATAACTTCCGAAGCATTTCTTGAGTAGGCGGGACTAATTAAGATGCAGCAATGCCATTGGCTGTCAATGTGATTAATATCCGACACCTGCACGGAGCAAACGCTGGAAGATTGTCTGTTTGAAGACGCGAGCACGAGGTAAGGTTTTCTATGCCTTTGAGACATTTCTTTAGTCTCAATATGACTATCTTCATTAATCATACAAACAAATGAGATTTAGTCATCTTTAACTTAATTTGTTAGTATAAATTCAGCCCTTGTAAGTTGTTTTCGAGCACTTTCTTTAGGGTTTTAAAAATCCAAGTCCTTTTTCAGTGTCTAGGCCAGTTGTAAAATTAACCATCCAGTAAACTGGTGTCTTTACCTGTTTTTGGGGGGCTGTTAAGCCTGATAATTATAGCATTTAATTAATTTAATAAGCGTTGTGTGTTTATTAGCTTTATTTGGATTTAAAAGCATTATTACATGCATGTGTATACATTAACCTGACTGATGCTGAAATCTGTTGTGATTCTCACTGTTTTCTCTTTGTTTTTTCAGTGGATGTCTGGATCATTGAGCTCCAGGGATGCAGGACAACCAGGATACTTTCCCAATTGTTTATTTCTCCATGATTGTTTCTCCATGTTGGCTGCTCCACAAACTCTTGTATCTGACGGTACAACGGTATCAGCTTGGACCCGTTCTTTGGTTTAAAGTGTTACTGAACTACGTTCATGGTGTCCTCCACTAGCACTGCACATTTTGCATGTCTCATTTCGAAGTCTTTGTATTTATGAGACGTGCAAATTGTGTTGTGTTGGAGGGATCCTGGAGTGTGGTTGAGCTGCACTGGCCCAAAGCTTTAAGCAATCTGTGTTGAATGCATTGTCTGTAATTTATGATGTTTGTGCAAAATAAAAGTTTAAATGTTATATTTTTGTCTGCATGGTTTCTAGCTCAACTTTTCTAGAAATTGTATTTTCTCATGGTTTAAATTTCTTCTCAGGATAAAATAGATAAATCATCTGTAAAGTGAACTTAAACCAGTAGTTTGGTGATTAGCTTGGCAATCTTGATAAAGTTTGTCTGACAAACCTCATTTTAATAATCATTTTCAATCTGCATTGAGCAGGAGCAACGGAGGCTGAAAAGTGCAGAAAAGCATCCTGTCAACCAGTCTGGAGAATGGAGCTGTGGCTGGCTGTTTATGTATTTTATTGTAGGCTCCACCCCCTGCTGTACTGCCTGCCCTTTTATTTCTACCTTTTTATTTTTTTTTGCAGGAATTTTTTTTTTTTTTTTTTGCAGGATTTTTTTTTCTGCAGGATTTTTTTTTTTTTTCTGCAGGATTTTTTTTTTTTTCTGCAGGATTTTTTTTTTTCTGCAGGATTTTTTTTTTCTGCAGGATTTTTTTCCTGCAGGATTTTTTTTCTGCAGGATTTTTTTTTTTTTTTTTTTTTTTTGCAGGATTTTTTTTTTTTTTTTTTTTACAGCAGCATTTTTTTACTGCAGCCTGGTGTAGGTTTCGTTTTTTTGCCAGCCTGGTATATCCTGGCCAAAAAAAAAAAAATTTTCCCTCCAGCCTGCCATTCTGGTCCAGTTCTAAAATATTTCATAAAATTAGTCCCTCCTCCTCTTTAGCTGGTTGGTTCAGGTAGTTAAATAGGGCCTTGTAATAGGCTCTTTTGACTTAGCCACTCCCTCTCTTACTTATACTCTTCTCTGATTGGTTGATTTGAATAGGCCCCTCCCATGGGTACTTGTTCTGGAAAATTTTATAAGTAATTTTGCAAAATTTTGTCTCCTTCCGCATAACCGCTGCTGATTATTGTCACGAAAGTCCCCAGGGGGAGCGTTCTGGATCTTTACTCCGCCCCTTCGTGTCCTGCCTTCATGTCTCTGTCGCCATGTTCTGATCCGCTTGCCGAGGCAGAGCCTGTCACAGCCCATGGCGATCTGACCGTCACGCAGCCATGCTTTCAGTGCCGGGGTGGGGATTGAGCCCACGATGTCCCGTTCAGGGAGCTGGTGCACTACCACTGTGCTACCGGCACTTTCTTACTTACTATTGTCTTTCCGGTTAATTTATCTTTTTCCCTGCAGGTTAAGCCAGTTGAAGAGCTCAAATTCGGCTAAAGAGGGGCTTGAACCTGCCACTTCCCAGTCCTGGGTACACATGCACTGACCACCAGGCCAGTACTCCGCTCATACTTATTAAAGATTTCTGGTTATTTTATATTTTTTCTTGCAGGTAAAGCCAGAATTTGACTAAAGTGGGCCTCGAACCTGCCACTTCCCATTCATGGGCTGACCTTCACTGCCCACTGAGCCACAGCTCTGCTCATACTTAGTAATGATTTCCGGTTATTTTATCTTTTTTCCAAGTAAAGCCAGTAGAACTGCTCGAATTGGGCTAAAGAGGGACTTGACCCTGCAACTTCCCAATGACGGCAAGCCACACACTGACCGCTGAACCACTGCTCTGCTCATACTAAGTTATGCTTCTTGGTCTTTTTATCTTTTTTTCTTGCAGGTGAAGCCAGAAGAACTGCTCCGATTCAGCTAAAGTGGGTCTCAAACTAGGAACTTCCCAATCATTGCCTGTCATGCACAGACCACTGAGCCACTGCTCCACTCATACATGCTATAGTCTTTCCGGTTATTTTATCTTTTTTCTTGCAGGTAAAGCCGGTTGAACTGCTTGAATTCGGCTAAAGAGGGGCTTGAACCTGCAACTCCCAATGATGGCCTCAGACGCACAGACGACTGAGCCACAGCTTCTCTCACACTTAGTACAGCTTTCTGTTCATTTTGTCTTTTTTCTTGTAGGTGTAGCCAGAAGAACTGCTCTGATTCAGCTAAAGTGGGCCTCGAACCCACAACTTCCCAATCATGGCCTGACATGCAATGACTACCAAGCCACAGCGCCGCTCATACTTAACAATGATTTCTGTTAATTTTATCTTTTTTCTTGCAGGTGAAGCCAGAAGAACAGTTAGAAAATCATCTAAAGTGGGTCTTGAACCAGGAACTTCCCAATCATTGCCTGGCATGCACAGACCACTGAGCCACAGCTCCACTCTTTCTTGCAGTTGTCTTTCCGGTTATTTTATCTTTTATCTTGCAGGTGAGGCCAGAAGAACAGCTTGAATTCGGCTAAAGAGGGGCTTGAACCTGCAATCTTACCAATCATTGCCTGCTGCACACTGACCACGAAGCCACTGCTCTGCTCACACTTAGCAATGATTTCCGGTTATTTTATCTTTTTTCTTGCAGGTGAAGCCAGAAGAACTGCTCGAGTTCGGCTAAAGAAGGGCTTGAACCTGCAATTTCGCAATGATGGTATGCCACGCACTGACCACTGAGCCACAACTCTGCTCACGCTTATTACAGATTTTTGGTTATTTTATCTTTTTTCTTGCAGGTGAAGCCAGATGAAGATGAAGAGTTAGTAATTCATCTAAAGTGGGTCTCAAACCAGGAACCTTCCAATCATGGTCTTTCATGCACAGACCACTGAGCCACTGCTCCACTCATACTTTCTGTTGATTTTTGCTTATTTTATCGTTTTTCTTGCAGGTAAAGCCTGTTGAAGTGCTTGAATTTCAGTTAAAGAGGGCCTCAAATCTGCTAGATCCCAATCATGGTCTGCTGTGCATTGACCACAGGGCCACAGTTCACTCATATTTACCATCAATATTCGGTTAGTTTATCTTTTTTCTTGCAGGTAATGCCAGAATAAGTGATTGAATTTCAGCTAAAGTGAGTCTCAACCCAGGAACTTCTGGATCATGGCCTGATGTTCAGACCACTGAGCCACTGCAGCACTCATGCTAAGGATAGATTGTTGGTAGTTTTATCGATTTTAATCGTGCAGCCGGAAGAACAATTCAAATATTGCAAATAAAGCAGGCTTTGAACCTGGAGCTTCATATCCAAGGCTGACCTTCAGACCACTGAACCACTGCTGCTTCAGTACTCATTAATGATTTTTGGTTACTTTGTCTTTTAACTTTAAACCATGTGAACATCATCTAAAGAGAGAATCGAACCAGGAATTCCCAGATGACAGCTGGCTGTTCAGACCACTGAGCCACTTGGTCTCGACACTTACTTCAATCTTTGGGTATGTATGACTCCTTTTTTTGTTTTTCCTCCTCCAAAAACAGCACAGTTCACAGTGCAATCTTAGTGAGCTTAGAACCCGCATCTGTCTTGAATCTGCAGCTTCTGCATTACAGACAAACTCACAGACCACTGAGCAGACGATTCTGGTATTCAACCTCTTGTCATTGGGGCTTTTGTGCATTTTATCGATGTACAAACAAACGAAAACAGATCAAGGTGAGCCAAGAACCCCGATCTTTTTCCGTACATGAATTTACTGCATGCAAGGGAAATGCACAGACCACTGAGTCACTGAATCTTGTAGCTTGTTTTTAGGTTTTTATGCTTTTTATTGATGCACAAATTAACAAGTGTCTTAGGATTGTTGTTTAACATGGGAATCAAACCCACAATTCCCAGATCACAGGCCTGATGGTATCCACTGAGCCACTGGTACTTCTGCAGCTCTCTGGTTTTCACAGGACCATGAGCTGCTGCTTGTTTTTTGGTAGAGTTTTCACAAATGTTGCCTGAAATCAAAACCTGAAATCCCCTTCTCCTCTTGTTTACTTCAGTCCATAATATCTGAAAACTGACCAAACAGCCTCCTGTAAGCTCAGATGCTTTCTGATTTTAAGCAGTCAGAAAATCTTTCTAAACACTGAAGAAATGCTTTTCCTTCTCATTCATACACTTTTATTTTGAAACTTGTCAAGATCATTCATATTCTTGAGTCTCATAGTTATATAGTGAGTACATTCTATAATATGAAGCATTTAATACACATCAGCTCATGAACATTTTATTTGACAATTCACAACAACACAACTCCTGGATGAATAAATGTTTTATTAGTGCGGTAAATCCAGCACACATAAGCTCCATTCTGATGTTGTTACCTTGTTAAAGCGATCAGCAGAACAGGTGCAGATTCTGATAGACTCGTTCACAATCATCCAATCAGACGCAGCAGAGAATCAAGGTCTGCTAAACCAGCTACTCATCATGTGGACACTGAAACTGAAGATTAATACCTTTCAGATGTAAACAATCAGAACAAATAATATTGATGTGATCATGAAGTATCAGACATCTTACATTGATGAAAACATCTGAAAGACTGAGAAAAATAAAGCAGGTGTTCTGCGGTAAACTTTCAGAGAATCAGTCCAAAACATGCTAACGTCCACTACACTATTTCAGTGTTTATATTGATCTATACCATTATAACGAGAGATTATAGTGTGTTTAATACTGAAAACTTCTCAGTACATAAACCATTTCTGCATCAAACACAATCATTTGCTTTAAACACACTATAATCTGTCATTATGGCAGAGTAGATTAATGCAAACACTGTGAAATGGTGAAAGTGGGCAGTGGCAAGTTTTAGACCGATTAATTGAAATGATGATAAAAGTGTTTAAATGTAATGGAAAAAATCAGATAAAGAGCATGAAAAAGTGAAAAGTGGTTTGATCGAAGTTGCACTTTTTTTCGCAGCACAAACACAACTCAAACATTAAACAGCTCACAGATTCTGACTGAACTGAAATCAATCTATACAAACTTGCAAAATGAAAGAAAGTTTTGAAAACAAAAAATAAAGTTGAGCATAAAATAAATAAATAAATGCAAATCTCCAAAAATTGCAAAGCAAAAATTAACTTGAGAAATAAGAAATGGTTTTGCAAAAAAATAAAAAATAAAAAAATACAAGGGGAAAATAAAGTTTTAAGAAATAAAAAATGAAATTTGCAAAAAAAAAAAGAAAATCAGTGCAATTTTTTTTAAATATTTGCAATTTTATATATAAATATATATATACACACACACACACATTTTTATAGCATTGCTTTTACTAAACCCATCCATAAATTGCAATGCTCATTATGATTTGCTTTTAGTCAACTGTGAGTTTGTTATAAAATGACAAATATAATATAGAAAATAAATATATAATTATTTCTAGTGACATTAGAGCAGTGGCGCCCTCCTGTAGCGAAATCTGGTAATTACAGAGCAACAAATACTGTAAATAACTCAATACAGAAACAAACAAAAATCATTAAACAATATAAATAACGTCAGGAAAACTTAGCTTAGTACAGAATAGTTTTAATATAAACATTTATATAATATAATATATTATAATAGCTATTGATGAAATTTTATATATATATATATATATATATATATATATATATATATATACATATAATTCATTGTAGTGAGGTTAGAGCAGTGTCGCCCTCTTGTGGGTAAATTTTGAAGTTACAGCAGAGCAAATCAAATGCTGTAAATCATTCAAAAATGAAACAAAAGACTTCATTGAACAAAGTAAATTATGTCAGGAATACTTATTATATATTATATTATAATATAACATGATCTAATGTAGCAATTGATAAAATAAAAAAATAATTACTTCAAAATAGTTTTAATAATCATTAAACTAAATAAAAAATACCAAGAAAAGTTATAATATAATATAATATAATATAATATAATATAATATAATATAATATAATAGCAATTGATAAAAGAAAAAGCAGTGTCGCCCTCCTGTGGTGAAATATGGGAATTACTGAACAGCAAATGATCAAATACTGAAAATAATTCAATACAGAAACAAACAAAAAACATTAAACAATAAAAATAACGTCTGGAAAACATAGCTTAGGAAAATAGCTAGTACAGAATAGCTTTAATAATCATCAAACAAAATAAATAATACCAAGAAAAGTAATATAATATAATATATTATAAAAGCTATTGATAATATATAATTCATTGTAGTGAGGTAAGAGCAGTGTCGCCCTCTTGTGGGGACATTTTGGAGTTACAGCAGAGCAAGTCAAATGCTGTAAATCATTCAAAAATGAAACTAAAAAATCATTGAACAAAATAAATTATGTCAGGAAAACTTATTATATATTATTTTATAATATAACATGATATAATGTAGCAATTGATGAAATAAAAAAATAACTACTTCAAAATAGTTTTAATAATCATTAAACTTAATAAATAATACCAAGAAAAGTTATAATATAATATAATATAATATAATATAATATAATATAATATAATATAATAGCAATTGATAAAAGAAAAAGCAGTGTCGCCCTCCTGTGGTGAAATATGGGAATTACTGAACAGCAAAAGATCAAATACTGAAAATAATTCAAAACACCTTTAAAAACAAAATCACTAAACTAAACAAATAATGCCAGGAAAGGTAATATAATACAATACATTACATTATAAATAAATATAATACAATGTAATACCAATAAAATAAATAAGAAAAAATAATTAAATACATAATTGATTGTAATGAAGTTAGAGCAGTGGCACACAAACATTAAACAGCTCACAGTCTCTGACTCAAACTCACCTTCACATCTGACTCTCCGACATGAGAACATCAGGAGGCTGAAGACTGTAAATAACTGTTTTCCTGCTGCAATCTTTTTCTGAACACAAACATAAGTGATGAAAGACAGAATAATAGTTGTCATGCATGTACACCTGCTGAACCGTGCACTTCTTTGCAAAAAGAGCCACAAAGCATAAGTGTCTTTTGGATTGAGACGTACATGTGTAAATAAGCTTTTCACTGATGTATGGTTTATTAGAAAAGGACAATATTTGACTGATCACAACTACTTAAAATGTAGAATCTGAGGGTTATAACAAATCTACATATCGAGGAAAAAATAAAGTTGTTTAATGCATATTACTAATGAAAAACAGAAATCTTTATAAACTTATCAGTGAACAAACACAGTATACAAATGTCTATGCAACAAGATCTATTTAATATGATGGTGTGGGTTTTCTGATGGATGTCCAATCTGGATGGAGTAGCACGTATAATTTCTCATGTGTTTGTATTAATATTAATATAATAATAATACTAATAAAGTTGAATGTGTAAGGGCCTGATTATATGATGACCGCAGCGTCATCCCACTACAGAGCAAATCTGGAATAATATGTGTGTGATTGCTTTTCTGTGTGCCAAATGATTTGTTTTCTCAGGATCTACCAAATCAGGTCAGAGGCCATGGAGATCTCTTGAGTGGACCTGGACTCTTAAAGCATTAAAAACAACTGTTTCTTGAGTTATTTGCCATTTTACATGTTAAATCTTTTAAAGTTGTTGCCAGTTTGGATGTTGATTGTACCAGTTTTTATAAGGCGGCTGAAAAAAAGAAAAAAAAGAAAAGTGTTTAATAATTTCTGAGTTGTTTTCTTGATTGTAATTGCAGCTACTCATTAAATCTGTGAGATGCTACTGTTCATTTCATCTATTCATTTGTGGATCTGTATTACAGGTCTGGGGTCAGCTTTGAATACACTAGTGGCTGTTTGACTGGTATGTGATGCTTAGAAATTCATTGGAAGCTACTGTTCGGTATTATGCACTCACACACACACACACACACACACAATCACACACACAATCACACACACAATCACACACACAATCACACACACACACACACACACACACACACACACAGAAATTTTGTGTGTCTGTCTGTCTTTTAACCAATCAGGTTAAACACCTACATATATGATGCAGTTAATGACGTACTGTGTAGGCCTGTCACCATATCTATTTTATATTGCATGTTCATTTGTTTGTTTTGTTTATTTATAGAGCACCTTTAAAAACAACAGATGTTGACCAAAGTGCTTTACAAAAAGACCAGCACACAAAATCTTTTGCATAAGTATAACTATATATATATATATATATATATATATATATATATATATATATATATATATATATATATATATATATATAAGCAGAATATATAAAACAGATTAAAATTAATTATTTGCAATCAAAAAGCAAGAGACAGAAGGTGATTTTAAAAGAACAAAGAACACTTAATATTTTATTCTTAAGAATATTTAATTTAGCTATAGTCATTTTAACAATTTAATAATCAGGCATTGCAATCAGAATGTGAAAACGCATATCCTAAATAATAATTATAAATGTTAACAGTAAAAGTGCAAGGTAAAGAGTACAATATCTGCTGCCAGAGCTGTTTTCAGTAATTGACAGTAAATACTATAGTGTGTTTAACCATAGTGACACTGAGACCTTCAATAGTGACATTTTGCACAATCAGCTGAAATGTTGCTAGAATCGGTTACGTATGGGCGATATATACGGCATCACCAAAAATGATTGAGTTCATGTTGTGTGATCAGCATATATTGATTATTGTGACAGGTCTAGTAATGTATTTATGTTGTTGTTTTCAGATTGTAAGCAGAGCGGCCTCTGAACTCTATGAGAGTGTTGACGCTGGCTTCTGCTGATGAAACTGCAAACTATCATCAGTAAACTTTCTGTTTGATTGAATCTCTGACTCCAGCTCCTCTTCATCTGACAGACTGCTTATTCAAACTGTTGGTTCCCCTACAAGTATTTGAGTGAATTTTGATTGTGTTTTGAATGTTTTTTGATTATTGCCAAAGCATAGCCATGCAACTTCACTGGTTTTGTGGCTCAGGGTCTCATAACACTTTAGAAAGTATAGAAGTTTAGTTTAGCTGTGAATATTTCAATTCAAAACGCATCTTCATACACGGAAAAAAATTATTCAAAGATGATTACTTGGATTTTTTTACGTTAAGTGGTTGTAAACAATTTATTTTATTGTGTTGAATTTAAACAAAAAATTAAGTTGAACATTATTCAATTTAAATTGTTTAAATTCAACACAAATAAATTGTTTGCAACAGTTCTGCATGCAACACTTTTTTTCTTCCAGCTTTCACCTCCTAAATATTCAGTTCTGTTTAAAAATATCATCTATAATATTCAAAAGGCAATTTTCAGCTCATTTTATTTCAGTCCAGCAAAAACAATAGATCGCAGACTGATCTATCTCTAACTATCTGACATCTCCAGAGCTCTGCTTTTTTTACCAGCAGGTGGAGATGGAGCAATGAAACATTTCATTCCAATTTGAACCACTGAATTTATAGAAGTGAATTTCTGAACTGAAATAAAATGAGCTGAAAATTGCCTTTTGAATATTATACATGATATTTTTAAACAGAATTGAATATTTTGGAGGTTAAATCTGGAAGTTGAATATGAAGTATAGAATTTGAGTATTAAGATGTGTTTTGAATTAAAATATTCACAGCTTAAATAAACAGCAGTGTTACATTTCAGGAAAATTGAAGTGAGTAAAATGCCAGCACTTGCTAATTCAATGTATTATTTTTTTCAGTTAGTGCTATTTTAGTTCGATACATATGCACTGATTTTGTTGCACAGTTTTTCAAAGTGCATGTCTGTAAATGAAAAAGCATTGAAGACAGCTAAATATATATTACAGTGTTAGATTTTTTCTTTTGGCATCTTATGGATCAATTCCAGAAATCACAGACATTTATTTACAAGAAAAATATATGTTAAAAATAGAAATGCAAGTTGTACTACATTTCTCACTTTTCCTTTAACGTCACTGAACATGCCAAACAATATTTCTCTAATGTTTGCAAGCCTTTATCTGTGGGAAGATGTCTCAATTTCCTTCAGGACACCCTTATTTGTTATGGTTTTTGTGTAATATAAAAACTTCAGGCCTTATATTTGTTGTTGTGTTTGGAGATCAAACAAGTGATTATGTATTTTGAATGGTTTTTTGATTATTGCCAAAAATACAGCCATGCAACTTGACTGGTTTTGTGGTTCAGAGTCTCATAACACTTCAGAAAGTTGGCAGCAATGTCAGGATATTTTTACACAGAGATTAAGAAGACAAAATCTACAGCTTTACACGCCATTCAAATGTGTGGACTTCTTGTGTTTTTGCATGCCTGTAAATCTAAAAGCATTGAAGTCAGCTTAATATATCATTTAGATTCAGCTATCTTTATTTACTCTGCCCTACATAGTTCAATTCCAGACATCACAGACACTTATTTCAAATAAAAATACATCTAAAAAATTGAAATGTACCTATATTACTTTCTTTTCTCTTTACTGGACATGCCAAGCAGTATTTCTCTAATGTTTGGAGGCATTTATCTGTGCAGATTTCTCCATTACCTTCAGGAAACCACTATTTATTAGGGTTTTTGTTTAATATAAAAACTTGATAGCTTAAATTTGGTGTCATGTTCTTACCTTGTGTTTGGAGATAAAAGAAGTATTGAACTTGATGCAATCCTTGTGTTCTAGTTGAATTCGCAGCAGATTTATTTATTTTACAGCTAAACGTTTCAAACAAAAACAAACAAACAAACACGGCGTCATCTACAAAGTAATCAGTTGTTTCTGCTTATTATTATTTTTCGAATTGCTTTAATATTTTGGTGACATCTATAAACTTAATTTCAAAATAACTTTAGCTGATATCTAAAAGATGGTTAACTGCTAACATTTACAAAAAATAAACATATCAAAGCCAAATCCTGACGTGAGATCCAATCAAATGCTTTCTGTAACATGGGAGACCACGCCCGCTTAAAGGTAAACGCCCCCTACTGCGTTCTTCATTGCAGGCTGAGAGATTTGCTGTAAATGAAGCAAAATATTTTATGATGGAAATTGGAGCTGCGATGTTTTCCTGTCTGTTTTTGTCTAGGTTTGGTTGGATATTATTAACCTTATTGGAAGTATGTTTATGTTGTGATTATGTTTTTGCGGGATTCGAACGCGCATCTGCTGTGGTTCAAAGGCCATATTTTGTGTGGTTTCATTATTTCAACACGTGACCCGACAAGTGATTTTAATATATACATTTTAAACATAAATAGCAATAAAGTACATCAATGTGTGTTTTATGTTGAATACTATTATTATAGTTCAATAATTTAGTATTTTATTATTGTTGTTTTTTAAGCTTATGTATTTGATATAAAAATCAAGATTTTTATATTTATTTGATCATTGTTTAGTTTCTTTAAAAGGCTGTTTATGCTGTTTATCTGTGTTAGAAAATAAAACATGAATTTGTCTCGGCTCAGTTGGATATTAACGTTTTTAGAAGTATGTTTATGCTATGATTACATTTTTTTGTGGGATTCGAACACACGTCTGTTGCAGCTATATTATTTCAACACGTGACTCCACATCTGTTTTTTTAAAGTCTATATATATATATATATATATATATATATATATATATATATATATATATATATATATATATATATATATATATATATATATATATATATAAATATATTTTACTTTTTTATGTGTATGAATAGAAATAATGTGTATCAATGTGGGTTTTCTTTAGAAAATTTTAATTTATTATTTCTATTTCTTAAATGTACACATATTTTATCTAAAACTCTAATTTTTAAATGTATTTGATCATTGTTTAGTTTCATTGTTTGTTATTTATGCTGTGTTTGAAATAAAACATGAATTTGTCTCGGCTCAGTAGGATATATATTTATTCAAAGCATGTTTATGTCATCATTATATGTTTTTGCGGGATTCGAACACACGTCTGTTGCAGCTTCATCATTTCAACACGTGACTCGACACATGATTTTCATTGTATAATGGTTTTATATATATATATATACACACACACACACACACATTATTTTTACATTTTCTACATATTTAAATAGTAACAAATTGCATCAGTGTTCGCTTTCTGTTGAAAATTTTTTTTCATTATTTTTAAGTTTACACAATAATGAAGGTATTTATTTATTGATTTATTTATTTGATCATTGTTTCATTTCTTCAAATAGTTATTTAACCTGTTTATAGGAATAAAAATGCGCTAGGAATAAAACACGAATTTGTCTCAGCTCAGCTGTGTGTTTATGAACTTTATTGAAAGCATGTTTGTTATGATTACATGTTTTTGTGGGATTTGAACACACGTCTGTAGCAGCTTCATCATTTCACCACGTGACCCCACACCTGATTTTCATTGTATAATGGTTTTATTTATTTATTTTATTTGTTTACATTTTCTACACAATTTAATAGTAATAAAAAGCATCAGTGTTCGTTTTCTGTAAAATATTTTTATTAATGTTATCATTAAGTGTACATATAAAGATGAAGATTTCTATATGTATTTATTTTATTATTGTTTAGTTTCTTAAAGGGTTAACCTGTTTTTATCTGCGTTTACAACAAAACATGTATTTGTCTAGGCTCAGTTGAACTTTATTGGAAGCATGTTTATGTTATGATTATATGTTTTTGCGGGATTTGAACACACGTCTGTAGCAGTTTCATCATTTCACCACGTGACTATGGTTTTATTTATTTATTTTTACATGTGTAATTAGTAAGGTCCATCAATGTGTGTTTTATGTAGATTTTTTATTGTTGCTTTTCAAGTTTACATATT